ACTGATTTGAGAACCAAATGAGGCACTGAAAAAGAATGTGAAGCTTGAATTATATGTCTAGAGAGAATTGATATAATGAGGAAGAAGTAAGAATAGAATAAGTGGGATCCTCATGTGAAGAGGTATTTCTACCTGTATTTAAGGTTATAGGTTTTAATTCCCTGCTCTGTCACTTACTAGTGGTGTGATGACAGAAAAGCTACTCCATAATTCTGGTGTCCAGTTTTCTAACTGTAAAACGGATAATATTATCAATCATGCAGAGCTACTGTGGAGATCCATGAGTATGCTGACTGCCCAGGTCAGTGCAGAGCACTGAGGTTAACTACCTGTTAAGTAATAAAACCAGGACTTAATCAACTCTTTTTTTCTTTTTAATTTTATTGAATCACCGTGAGATAGTTACAAGCTTTCATGTTTGTGTTACAATCACACAATGATCAAACACCCATCCCTCCAACCAGTGCACATTCCCCATCACCAATATCCCCGGTATACTCCACTTTTCCCACCCTCCCCCTGCCTCCAAGGTAGACATGATTCCCCAAAATCTCTCTTTACTTTTGGGCATCATGGTTTGCAATATCAGACACGGAGAGGTTATCATGTTTGGTCCTTTATCCACTTTCTGCACACATCTCTCATCCCAACCGATTCCTCCAGCTGTCTTGAATCAATGGGGAAAATAAGGTGATAAGAAGGATCAGAGGGACAAATTGGAAATACAAATATCCAACCTTGAACATGGTTATTTTTCTAACTTAGATGGAGAAAGGAAAATGCTAGATAATTTCATTCAGAAGTGGAATACAAAGAGAGCAAAAGAAAGGAACAGTTTAAACCAGAAGGAACCAAGTCCTTGGATTACGTTTACTAACAGAGTTACTATGTTAACTAACAGAGAGGAATGGGGAGTGAAAAGTGAAGAGATAGAGGAAGTGCAATAGGTTTTATTGGAGAAATATTAGTAATTTGGTGGTGATTTTGTATTGTAATATACCTGAGGTGAACCTATACTCCAAAATATGTACCATTGTGATGAACAACAGGAGAACAGTGCAGTGCTATGTTATAAACCAACATTCTCTCAATAACTGGAAAAAACAATAAAGACAGATTTTTATGGAGATATACCTTTTCAGATTTCCTTACCAATTTCAAATCTAACTTTTCATATAGTTTGTGATTGGATATAGGGAATCCGGGAGGGAAATCACAGAAGTATATCCATTTTTAGATCTAGAGGAACTTTTTGTGACTTTTTAAAAAATATTTGTGAAATATAATGTTAAATTTAAACTAAATTGAAAAATCAAATAGACTACAAATATAATTGTAACAAGAAAAGATATCAAGGTCTAAAATCTTAATAAACTCTTTTAAGGGTTTTCCTAACAACTTAGGCATATGGCAAATTTCTACAAATACAGGTACCAAGGTTAGTTTTCAAGTTCCCTGAATAAGTTTTCAAGCTTTGGGTGAAGTAATTCTTATTTGTATTCTTCATAATTTCTTTAGCTGTTTTTGAAGATTGAGAACATTTGAGAATCAATCAACTCAAAAACAATGCTGGGTCAGGAGCCAGTCTTTGGCCTTTTAGTTCGATTCCTATTTGTTTTACCTTCACCAACATCTAATAATGCAATCAGTCAAGAATTTATCTTAGAATGAGAGTGTATTAAGGATAAGCTAATATATAGTCTCATATCAAAAGTTTTAAAATAATTGGGAAGTTCTAGATGCTCTGAAATTGAAGGTGAAATTGCTTTTCTTTGTTAGCTAAACTTTTTTCTTTAGATTTTCATTGAATTTCTTTAAAATTAGCTGAAGAATATATTATGGTTACAGTACCATAACACTGATAACAAAGCTATAATTACATACAGCATTGCCTTTATTTAAAAAACTTCAACATCAAACATCAAGTATTTGTGTGTATATTGCAACCCCAATTTAGAGGTTAATTCAGAAACAGAAAAAAAGTAGGGGTTTTGTATATTTTTAGATAAACCATAAGTATTATTTTCAGACTTCTCTCATCATTTGTGAAAACATGTTTATTGTTTGGTGGAAGGAACAAAACGTTTGCCATAGCAACCATGACAACCCTGGGTATCTTGCCTATTAGCTATGTTGCAGGAAGCATCTTCAACAGCAGGGAAGAGTTCTTGGCAATTATCACCCAGAGAGTCTCTTCATTTTAGGAGTTTAGACTAAAGCTTGTGGATTAGGAAAATTCTTTAACTTAATGTTCTAAAGACTGAGAACAGCAACAATTCCATTTTGGTTAATTTAAGGGGTGGCGGTGGGTAATAAACTTACTGTGAGCATAAGGGAGACGTGATTTTCTTTAGACAAATTTGAAGATCTCTTTTGAACATTAACACTATCCTTCTACCAGTTATACTCAGAACTTATTGAAATGCATCTCTGTAAAAGTCTATGGCATTCAGCATGGTAGTTTGATCCATACATGTTATGAAATAAGTTGAATTGTAGATTCAGCTAGCACTTATCAACTACTTCCTGTGCTGGAGCGATAGCACAGCAGTAGGGCGTTTGCCTTGCACGCAGCCAAGATGGCCGACCCGAGTTCGATTCCCCCGCCCCTCTCGGAGAGCCCGGCAAGCTACCGAGAGTATCTCGCCCGTACGGCAGAGCCTGGCAAGCTCCCCGTGACGTACTCGATATGCCAAACACAGTAACAACAAAGTCTCCAATGGAGATGTCACTAGGCCCGCTCGAGCTAATCGACAAACAACCAACGGGAGGGCCTTTACCTTACCTTTACCCTTCCTGTGCTAGCATTTATCAACTTCCTGTAATGAAAACTTAGGATTTATTCTTTATTCAATGTTGATATATATCACATAGCTATGTTAGCTATGTAATGTAAAATGTTATAACATTTTACTAATAACATTTTTAGTACCTATTTGTCTTTTTTACAGGAAGTTTGTACATGTTAACATTTTATTTATTTTTCTGTAAGTTTTATTTTTATTTGCATTGTGTATATGTTTGCTTATTTTTAGATTTCACATATAATTATGTTTTACAGTTCATATTTTCATTTAAATTCTTCACTTAATATGCCTATAATATTCAACCATGCTATCAGCTGTGATAGGGTTTTCTCTATTTTTCTGGTTAAGTAATAGTCCTGTGCGTTTGTGTATGTGTGTGTGCGCCTGTGTGCACATCCATGCAGGCCTGCTTGTGTGTCTGTGTGCCTCAAATGTGTGTGAACTCATGCACTTTCTTGCTTTGGATATTGTAAACAGTGAGATATTGTACAAATTAGGATGCAGATCTTTTAATTAGTGTTTGCATTTCCTTTGCCTTTATTTCTAGCAATTGAATTGCTGGATCATATAGCAGAGCTATTTTTAATCTTTGTGAAACTGCCACACTTTTCCAAAACAACTATATCATTTTAAAATTCTATCAACACACTTGCACAAAGCGTTCTTTTCCCTCATGTTTCTTCTTTTGGTGTGTGTTTGGTTTGGTTTCTGGTTAGTCTTTATAATGTCTTTTTCTGTTATATGAAAAGGAGAGGATCTTACCAATGATTTTCTGGTTTTTTTTCTCCTCCAGGTGAGATTTTAGTATGTAAAAGATAATAAAAATATTTATGATTAAGGAACAATCCTAGGTGTTGCTAGGAAGTCTAGTTGTGAAAATGATGAAAGAGGAATATTAAAGTTTGGAATTTTAATATCAAAAATAGTGAAAATCCAAAGCTATATCTTGTATCCTTCTCTTTCAAATCGCTAGAGATGTCTTTCTCCGAAAAGCATATTAAATATGAGCAAGTAGTTGCAGTTTATAAAAGAAAGACAGATAATAGAAACCATGCAAAATGAAAAAAACCTAAAATAATAAAACTTTCAAACACTCAACTAATTCAGAAGAATTCACAACGTTTTATTTATATCATGCTTTTTTAATTCCAAGATCATTTAAAAGATGGTGGAGAGATGGGTTGTATGAGTAAAACTCAAAAATAAAAGCTTTGTAACTGTATCACATGGTGACTTAATAAAAATAAAAGTTGATCTAAAAAGCGTAAAAAAGGTCATATGGAAAGATAAATCATATGATCTTTTTTATGCTTTTTAGATCAACTTTTTTATATATAACCGTCACTGTCACTGTCCTCCCGTTGTTCATTGATTTGCTCGAGCGGGCCCAGTAACGTCTCCATTGGAGACTTTGTTGTTACTGTGTGTGGCATATTGAATACATCACGGGTAGCTTGCCAGGCTCTGCCATGCGGACGAGATACTCTCGGTAGCTTGCCTCTCTGAGAGAGGCGGAGGAATCGAACTCGGGCCGGCCATGTTGGCTGCGTGAAAGGCAAACGCCTTACCGCTGTGCTATCGCTCCAGCCCATTGGCTCTCGAAGAGCCCGGCAAGCTATAGAGAGTATCTTGCCCACACAGAAAAGCCTGGCAAGCTATCTGTGATGTATTTGATATGCTAAACACAGTAACAACAAGTTTCACAATGGAGATGTTACTGGGCCTGCTCGAGCAAATCGATGAACAATGGGAGGGAGGACAATACAGTACAGTACAGTGCAGTGCAGGGGATATATGTATCTGAAGAGAGAGTAGTAAGAACATGAGGTATAAAAGAAGGAAAGAAGAAAGTTATGAGTCAGAAGATATAAATCATGCTAAAAGTTCAGTTTATAAGAATACAAAAAAATACTTAAAATAAATTATTTTAGATAATTCAAATATGGAAACCTTAAAGACTAAGCAAAGAGCAAGAAACATGGAAACATAGCATTTGACATGGATATTAAACTATGAAATAGAATTATACGTAGGGAAAGCATGGAAATCTTCCCACGAAAGTGGTGAGTTTAAGAAGAGAGATTGGTCATATTTGTGAATAAGGGTATCTAAACTGATCATTACTTTTCTTTTTAAGTATTGAAAGTTGTAACCTTATGTTTCTGCAAATTTCTATCTCTGATCCTCGTCCAGGAACTGGTGGTTGGTCCCCAGCAGATTCCAATGCTCAGCAGTGGCTGCAGATGGATCTGGGTAACAGAATGGAAATTACAGCAGTGGCCACGCAGGGAAGATACGGAAGTTCTGACTGGGTAACAAGTTATAGCCTGATGTTCAGTGACACAGGACGCAACTGGAAACAGTACAAACAAGAAGATAGCATCTGGGTAGGACATCTTTTCTTTTCATATACACAAAAGTAAAAATGTGATCCTGGTAACCAGTGATGTCTATATCGTTTCCCTTTACCCCATATTGTTGGAAGCTTAATAATTATTGATTGTAGCTTCTCTTTTAAGTATTGATTGCTCATTCAAAATTAATTGGACATTATGTATGTTCTGTCTCGAACAAGATTTCATTTACTAGGGACAATGGAAATTTAGCAATTTCCTTCAATTCTGCTAACTTAAGTTAATTTTAGACCTCAGTGCTACATCTGTATTAGAAGTTCCCTGGCTTATTTGGACTACCACCTCCTTTTCTGAAATATAAAATAAAATAAAACAAAAATAAAAAAGAACTCAGAACTTCCATGAAGATGTACTTTAATTGAACAAAAAGAACATGCCCCCCAATTATACTTGAGTCTACTGCTGACCCTTCTGCCCTTCATTCCCTCACAAGGCAGTATTACCCTCATTGAGAACAGAAAGTAATGATTTAAACAGAGACATACATTTGGGGAATCTGATTGTAAATGAATATGTATAAAATATTTATTTGCTTACCTGCTTAAAATATATCATTGCACTCTATAAAGTTTATCACGACTCACCTGAGTCAGTTATTTATATACATTGAGCAAAGTTGACAAGTTTTTTTGATCTTGGTAAGGTTACTGATGTCAGTCATAACCAAGATTTGGAAACAATTAAATAGGTAAAATATATACACACTATACAAACATATATATAACAAATATAAAATGTGCTTCTCTTTTAACCACTTAATCTTCAGCTTTGTTCCCAAGCCCAAGTTCTTGACTTTATAATGTCAAAATGAATGATTGTTGCCAGACTATAAGGGTAAAAATTAAGAGGATTACAACATAAAATATTGTGAGAAGGCTTCAAAATCTCTTTCACTGTATTTGTAAGTTTAGGTCAATTTTCATTTAGTATAGAAAACACCAAATATCTATTATTTCTAAATTAACATAAAAATAAATATTTGGCACTTGGTAGTAACATTTTCTTTTTATTATCTCCCTAAATGCTTTCCACCTTAAGTCAGTGCCAAATATGATTTCAAATTGTTGGTGTTTGCAACTTTTTTTGTTGGTCCCCTAAATATACAAATATATATATGCATATGTATATGTGTGTGTATATGTGTGTGCTTATATATGTATATATATATATATATCCATCCTTTAATTGCCTACTCATCATTGATTCTAATTGAAAAATTCAGTAAGCTAGAAATTTGCTATTAGCATTAAAATAGTATAAGATCATGGTAGATTAAACAGTAATATGTATCTTTACTCTGAATCATTTATTATTTTGGGTTGTAGTATTTATTCATGGAGAACATGGATTGCCATCATTTTAAAAAGTGGGTGAGAGAATATACTGGATGGTACTCTGGGCATTCATGATTTTGTGCTCGGGGATCACATTTGGGGGTGCCATGGGAAGAAACTTAGTAGGCACATGGAAAGCAAGCACCTTGGCAGCTGTCCTATTCCTCTGGGCTCTGGATTGTTCACATTTTTAAATAGCCTGTTGGAAACTGTGCATTTTGTTTCTCTCAACTTTGAAACCCCACAATTATCTAGACAATTTTTGCTTTGCTTTACTTTAAAATGAACAATAAGCGATGTTCCGTTTTTAGAAATTTTAATGCTTTATGTTTACTGTAGAGGGACAAATAGATACAGGGTTATTTCTTTCTTTTGACATTTCTATCAGAGCATGTTGTTTTTGAGATAAAATTGTGGTTTTGAGTAACTTTAAAATTAAAAAAAAACTATTTTATTTTTCCTATATACAAATCTATATCTATATCTATACGTATATAGATATAGATATCTATAAATCTATCTATATCTATATCTATATCTATATCTATATGAAATCTTTATCTATATCTCCTGCCTGCTGGCTGCCCTCACAGGGTCCCCTTGGAGGGGGGCAGATTGAGTTTCCTTCCCCATCCCGAGCAGAGCCCAGTAACTGAAGAATTCCAGAACCAGCAATAGCCATGCTTAAGACCACTCTTCACACTCTCAGGTGAGCCTCACACATGAAGGAACCAGCAAAGGAACACAGGTGTGCATGACCCGGGGCTGCGATCTCCAAGGCTGATCGGATTGGGGCTGGGCCTCCTCCAACCAGATCCCCCATCTTCTAGTAGCTAGGTGTTACACCCACCAACTGCCCCAAGTGCTGTGTAATCCCATCAATGGCCAAGACCTAGAGACTATAAAACCAAGTTCCCGCAAGCATGCGGCCACAAATGCGTTACAATACTTCCTATTGTTTAGTTCTTACTCTCGGAGTACCCGGCAAGTTATTGATAGTATTCTACCCTCATGGCAGAGTCTGGCAAGCTCCCAGTGGCATATTTGATACACCAAAACCCTGTAACAATGATGGATCTCATTCCTCTGACCCTGAAAGAGCCTCCAATGTGGCACTTGGGAAAATTTCAGGGCTAGAACGAATGGAGATATCACTGGTGCCTGCTTGAGGAAATAGATGAACAACGGGATGACAGTTGTAATAAATCTTTAGAGGGCGGCCAGTGGGACCCCGACGTCTCTTCCCCTAGCTACTCACGTTCAAGGTTGGCCTGAGCTGCTCCCACAGCCAGGGCGGTCCAGGCCATGGGGCAGATGGTAAACGAAACAAGGGCCAACTCTGTTGATTGATCAGGTGCCGTTTATTCCATTCTCCCCACGCACCTGCACCAGTCTCCCTGAACTTCCCATTCTAGTCTCTACTGTTCCTCATTTCAGTCTCCTTCTGTCCCTCCCACTCATCTCTCTGCACTCCATCTCGCAGATCTCTCTCTCTCTCTCTCTCTCTCTCTCTCTCTCTCTCTCTCTCTGTCCCCCGTGCTATTTCTAGCCCTCCATGGTCAATCTTGCCTTCCTGCTCTCTCTTCTCTCCAGCACTCTTGCCTTTCCCTGCTCTCTTTCTCTCCAACTCCCTCATCTCCCCAAGCTGACACTGCCCCCAGTCAGGTAGCCAAATCAACATAAGAAAGCCCTTCCTGAGGGCCCACCAAGTTCAAAGGGAATACTACCTAGAATACTCCAAAGTCCTTCTTGACTGACCAAGGTCAAAATACCCCTTGAGGTGTTTTTTCTCTTTTCCTCAGTCCAATAACTCTATCAGCATATCAATACTATCTATTTTTGTATGGACACAGTAAGAGATAACATTGAGACTTGTAGTGTAGCTCTCCTGGGATCATCTTGCCACAGACTCAGACTACTGTGCTCAGGCCAGATTAATCATTCCTAACCCTAGCAGGGTCCAAATCTAGTTATTACTTTTTGGATCATGACAGCATTTGTCCATGACCAAGCTCTTAACTTATAGTTAAGCATTAGGCACTTTGGCCAGGCCCATCTCCATGCCAGGGTAGCACATAGCTTACCGCTTGCTCTGGTTCCATCCAGTCCCTCGTCAGGGACCCTGATTTGGGGGGCGCTAGGAAGTAAGGGCAGCTGAGACTTAGGTGAGAGAACAGATGCCCAGGAGAAAAATACCACTGAGAGTCAGGTTACAAAAGCATAGCATATACTATCTTCTTGAGTCCATACAAAAAGGACAGTGCTCTGAATAAACTATGCAAAGGATTTAAGGAGAAGAGAAAACAATATTTACAAGTCAACAGAGACACAAAGAAAGAAGTCATAAATAAATTCAGAGGAATGGGAGTATTGTGATGGGAACAATCCAATAAACCTAAACTACCTGAGGCTATGCAGGAAGGACAGAAGAGTGTTATCCTACAGATAGTGATACAGCAATATATCCAAATGAAGAGCTTCCAGCCAATGTGTATTTCAAGCACTGATACTTACCCTGGGCTTGTGAATATCCATTTTATTTCCTTGCCCTTGTTGATTTATTTGTATTAACAAATATCTCTAAGCCCCTTAAAAGTTGGGAATACTCTTGAAGTAAAATACATAGTACAGGGGTTAAAGCATTTGTCTAGCATACAGTCGCCTGCTTCAATCTCCATCCTGGCTAGTAGCTATCCACCAGAGAACAGAGCAAGAAAGAAGAGTCTCCAAGCACCACTGAATTGGTAATCAAACCTAAAACTTACCACCACCAGCACCCCTATTAAAAAAAAACAGGGGCTCATCTCAATAGGTCCTGTACCTTTTATGCTTATTATTACTGGACCAAGCAAGAACTAGATTTTTTTTCCCTTAAATTTTTATTAGTGAAACACCATGAAGTACAGTTGTATACTTACAGATTTTTGTGCTTGGGTTTAAGTTATACAATGAATGAATACCCACCCCTCCACCAGTGCCCATTCTTCACCACCACCAGTCCCAGTATCCCTCCCACCCCCTTCCCCCCATCCCCTGTCCTACTTACTCTACCACTGTGGCAGGGCATTCCCTTCTGTTATCTATCTCCTTTTTTTTTAATATTATTTTTAGTGAAACACCATGAGGTACAGTTGTAGATTTACAATTTTTTGTGCTTGAGTCTCGATTATACAATGATCAAATACCCATCCCTCCACCAGTGCCCATTTTCCACCACCATGGATAATATTCCTCCCACCCCCATCCCTCCCATCCCACCCTGCCTCTGTGGCAGGGCAATCCCTTGTGAAGAACTAGATTTTTGATGATTATGAAAAGAACTGCAAAATTAGTAAGACTGCTAGAGTTGAAGGGGAGAAAACTATTCCCTTTTTTTCTCATTCTCAAAACAGTCTTGACATTTAGGGAGGTAAACTATGCAATGGGCCAAGGAAAAAAGGCAGGAAAACATTATGCTAAATAAGTCAGTAAATTCCAGTTTTCACTTGCTCAGGGCTGCTTACAATGCCTACAGGCTACATGGGAAAGGCAGCAGCAACACAACCACCTGTCAGGTGCGAACCCCAGAGGAGAAGATTTGTAGAAGAATCCTCACAACTTTTAACTTACAGACTAATATACAGCAACATTGGGCAATCA